TATGATATTTTGAACTGAAATAGCCATATTGAAGATCATTCCATGCAATTTTTTGCCCTGCCATTCTTAAGACCTAGGACCCGCTTAATTTCCAACCTGCAGGCCCGCGAAGATGCGCAGGCGGCTATTTTGTACAGTCCATTTCAGGGTTAACCGGGGATATATAACGTCATAATAACGTCATTCAGATCCTGCCATTCCGTAGGCGGACTTGAGCGGGTCATTAATTTTAACAGGCAAAAATATATGTTTTGCTGCCCTTTAGGTTTTAAAATCATACAAAAAACATATTGTACTGCCAAACAAAAACCAATCATGAAAAGATCATATATTTACTATTTGCAGCAGGAGCGCGAGTGCCAGAGAACCCATGACAAACAAGACACATCAGAAAATCAGTTTGCACACACTGAACAGCCTTAAGCAAACATCTCACTAGAAATGCAAGAATGCCGGCCGAAACCTTAGTAAAACTCCGGCCTGATTTCATTGAGCAACAGTTGGGTAGTCAATGTGAATACAGCTACACACTGCACTTAGGTGTTTGTAATGGTGTGATGTACCCAACCTTTCCTAGTTAATACCAACCAGATCTCAAATATCACGATCAAAGTCTATGCTGAATACGATACAAGGGAACTGTGAACCTTTCCTTGCCCCAGTTTTAATGACCTGTCAATACAGACCGCGGAACCTGGTGTATCAAGTGCGAGCAGTTGTCGAAACTGAAAAAAGTGGTGGCATAGAGTTTGTCCACCCATATCTGAAAAATATGCAATTGACGGCTACGACCACAGGGCATTTAATATAATACGTTCTACCATCACTGCAATTATTATAATATTTCGACATGTCCTGCATTACAGCTTCTGTTTTGTCTGATTTGTGAATTTTTTCTGACATTTGTATCTGAACGCAGCTCCCTGTGGAAAAATTCACCCCACAATAACACGTCAATGGGTAATTCGATTAAGACCGAAAGTTGAAGTCATCAGGTAATGCAAGAGGTGGAATCAACTCCTGGAATTCTTTTTACCACTTAAGTTGTCGATATATATGTTTTCTTCAGCATACAGCGGTACGTCACGTTGTTTGTTATGATGCTAAATGCCTTACTAATGTCTTTGGATCGGGAAACACTCATGGACAAAACATTATTGATATCCCTGCTTTCAGTTATGTCATGCAAAAGTAAAAATGTGGATGATTTCAAAGCTACCAAGTGGTTTTTGTTTCGTGTTGTTGCATGATGGACAGCTTGCAGACTAGCTTGCAGATTACACTTTAACTTGTTTTTACTTTGTGAGTGTTGAGCCATCAGTCGATACATAAAAGTTAAGAAGAAATGGACTGTAGCCGTTCAGGTGAAGGTGGAAGAGTCAAATCTTTGGTACATTTATTTCTAGTGCAATGATGATTAAAACACAACACAAATGTGGGGTGGAAGGTTTTTGAATTATTTTGACATGATTTTTTGTACTGTTTCCTTTCATTCTACATGCATTACAAATGTTCAAATGCCACAATCAATATTTTCAACCAGTTCCTTGTGCAATGACGATTCCAAGCGCGGCAGACAGGTGGTTGTATTGAATGCGTCACCACGATGTAAGAAACTGTACGAATCTTTATAATGAAATGATATCAAAACCTTTCATGATACGTGTGTGTTGTGGTTGGAGTTGTCGCACCAGACATATTGATTGCGGCATTTGAACATTTGCAATGCATGTTGAACCATATTTCCACGCCATTTTGAACATTCTCTCATTTGCATGTAAAATAGTATAGTTCGCACGCCCTGATCCGACAATAATAGTTCTTGTGATACTGTCTGTTACGTGGATCTTGACTGAGGTATGAGCCCCTTTTTGCTCCTTCAGAGCCTGTCAAAATATGCCAGATCTTGATTCTGAGCCAAGCAAGAGCCACGTTGTCAGGTACATTTGCGAGGAACATTATGCATATAAATGGGACAGTATTGACAGCCTTATTCCTCGTAGAATAAACGGGGGAATAGAGAGATAAGTGTGATAATTCGGTTACATGCCTTCATCGAAACGATTTTCATTAATAAATTCAAAATTGCCTGCCGATGCTTCTCAATTTTTCTGTTTTTTTTTAAACAGCGAACAACAGTTTTTACAGGGATTTTACAGTGGTTTCCAGTATTTAGGTTTACGTATTTACTGCGGTTTACAGTTTTCAACTAAACAGGCACCGCACATCACTTGTGTCACTTTTACAGGCCAATGATTACAATAAAACAGGCATCACGCGTCAGGCATCATACATGAAAACGATGTTAGACTGGCACGCATCACACATCAAGGCACTAATCACATCCTTATAATCGACCATGATGAGCCCTGTTCGTTAATGTCTGTTCATCGACTTCTTGTAAGAATGGTTCACATATTTTCCTGCCTGGATGGCCCTGTGCTCTGTGGATGACTTCGAGCTTTTAAAGGGGTAAAGGGTCCGTACCTGTTTGGATCTCAACCTGCGTGTGTTTTGTCAAAGAAGTGGAACCTGTGGAGTCTGCATGTAACCGCGTTTTTTGCGAATCCTAGTTCTTAGCTGTTTAATGTATCATAGAAATGAATAGAAGTGGCTCCTTGTTTAATCCTCTAAATGTCGGAGACCTGTGAAAACTGCCGCTCCTTTTTTCAAAAAAGAAAGAAAAATCGGGTGGGATCAGTAGACAATTTCGAATTTACTCCTGATATTCTCTTCGATAAAGGCACGCAGCCGAAATATCACATCTACTTCTCTATTCTCCTGTTTTGCCTGCGAGGAATAAGGTTATCATGGTTGTTTCATCAATGGAAAATGACGCGCGTTGGCTGGGGCTTAAACGCAATGAAACGCGCATTTACTGAACTATAATTAACAAACAGGCGAAGCAATCTGAAAGTTCTGAATACATGGATTTTTGGATTCAGGGCTCACGGCAAGCGTCATCTGTGGTGTTGCCCTGACCCCTACTATCCGATCGTAAAGTTCCACATCGATGAAATAATTTGATAAAAAGTTCAATACGTCTCAATGCTCGGCACGGCTTGTCCTGCTCCCTGACGTCACTTGACCTTTAGCGGGGACGTTGCCACCGGCCGCAGACCATCTCAGTCAAGGACAAAAACCGAGCGCCTTAAAGCGACTCCAGTCCACGCCGCCACGGGTGGGTGGATCGGGAGGCAGGCGCTGTAACCAACTGAGCTACGGAACGGACGATGTGTACATGGTGTCTTCCCAACGTTGTCGCGAGTGATAGGTGACGGGTGTCACCTACCTCTCTTGCGGCGCAACCTTCACCCCGCAGGGGGGGGGGTGACATGTTTGTCTGTATTTTCCCGGCATTGGACCCGGCATTGGACCAGCTTCCATTGGAGCAAATATTCGACAGGAATACAATTTGCTATCTATTTATTTTTTCAAAACAAACATATATGCCGGTGGTCCCTGGCAGCTGAATGCTCCACCCTATTATATACTATCGTTTCATTGAATGATTCCTCCACGCCTCATATAACATGTGCGCTTCAGTTCACCATTGGCCAGTGAGGTGAGATGTGGACATGTTATGCATATGAAAGGACATCTTATGCATGTGAGAAGATTATTTCCGGACTCAAAACTCAATCCTGGATTTTCACCAGCTAATCATTGGTCCTCCATTGAAGGATGAACCTGACCACCTTCACCTTTTCCAAGGCCTTGTTGGACCTCGGATCAGCCGCCAAAAGCAAGGGCAACAATGATACTACAGCGCACCCTGTTTACAGCTTCTGTCGATGGTCCAAACCCCTCGCTGAAGAGCAGCTCAACGACATTTTCAAAATGACTTCCAAAATATGTGACGGATTGCCGCCTAAGTTTATAAAGCTGTAGACAATGGAAGAACCATGGCCATGGATGAAAGGAAATTCTATTCTTGAGAAATATTTCATGCTGATACAAAGAATGCTTGGAAGCAGCCACACAGCATTGAGATGTTTTCTTTGTGAACCATCCATTCAGCTTAAAATTATAACCAGTGTTGTTGCCCATGGCTAAGGTCTGGTGCCGTGATGAAGACCAAAATAAAAATTGTAGCTGGAAAATTGGTTCGCAGGATGGCTTCTTGATATTTTATATATGCCATGATTTCAATGCTTCGGGGTTCCATTCTCCTTCCCACCCAAGCGCGTCGTATTTAGTGGGCCGCCCGAGCGCGTGTTAAATACTCTTGCATTTTCCAGTTTGTTACGGCCTGTTAAGCCTTCTCATACAGACACCCACGCGTGCGCACACAAACACGCACACGCCCGCACCCACGAGCACGCACTCATGCATGACCACATGTCAATGCACAAGCGCACCCCAAACGCACAACCATGCACAAGTGTTAACGAATTAGAATAAACACGAGGACAACCTAAGCTTATAAAAAACCTGGTGGAACAGTGCTCGTCGGCAGCTAAATGTGGGACAGTGCAGAGGGTGCCCGTTACTCTGACGTCAGACGTCACGATGCGATGGAAATGTTTGTGTCCGTTTTACACGGTCGGGGTGTTTTGGGCAGTGATCCTCTTTCCTTTCCTTGACGATATTTAGTATTTTTAACGCACCAGGCTGGCAGCCGTCTGCAGTGCGAATTTCTCTTAACATCGCACCCACATTATGCGTGCGTGAATAACAGCTGCTAACAGGACTGAAAAACAGCCTCTTGGACGGCTAGCTAGAAGTGCGCGCGGTGTCCACGGGTGTCCAGGACTGGCGCATCGACCGCGGTGTACATCTTATGTAAGAGACCACACCACCACTGACAGACCAGAAGGTAATCAATTTCAACGTGTGATGGTGTGAAACCGTACATGAAACAAAACCAATTAAGAGCTTAGCGCTGTTTCCACCCTTCGGTTGCCATGACAACGAACTTCACGAGGCCTCCCGGCCGTCAGGTCACTAACTCTCTCGAGACGCTCGTGGCGACATGTGTCCGCAAGCATGGCTGCTCGTCACTCACCTATGACGGTCAGGTGGACGGGGTAGGAGGCGGGCGGCGAGGTGCTGATCTGGCAGGCGTACATGCCGGCATCGCGGTGCTGCACGAACTTGACCTGCAGGGTCCAGTCGTGCGAGCGCGGCGAGTGGCGCGCTCGGAAGCGCTCGTCGCTCGTGTACGTGCTCTCGCCCACGGTGAGCAGGTGCACGTCCCGCAGGCGCACCCACGAGAGGGTGCGGTTGCCGAGCGCGCAGACGCGGCAGCTGAGGTAGGCACTGCGGCCGAGAAGCGCCGTCACGTTCCGGGTGGCGTCGCGCTGGAACCAGGGCCGGCCGGCATGCGGTGCCACCGGCGGGTCCACGTCCAAACGGACCGGGTCTACCGGCAGGCACAGACAGACACCAGGTCAGCGGTAGCGGCAGGTCAGCTGTCAGCAGGTCAGCTATCAGCAGGTCGGTGGCGGGACCTCGATCGCTCCGAGCGCGTGTGCGGACATACGTTGACGTCCGACGGCGCTCAGGGAGAGACCCTCTGTCGGGGAAGCAAGGTCGGCCGCCGTCGAATGTCACAGGACAGCAGCGGAGGATAGACAACCGTAGTCGAGCTCGTGAGAGGAGGAGTGGAGCTGCAAGACGTTGATGCCCGGCGGCCAGGGTGAGTCGATATATGGGCGGCGGTGTGCGACACTGACTCACATCTCGATGCGAGTTCTGATATTTGACATACGAGTTCTGAAATACGCGGGCAATACGATAGCTGGGAACAATTGTCTGCTTCTGTTCTACCAAAGAATTTGGGGACCGCCATGGCAACGAACGATGATACATAACGATACGATGATACGATACACAATGATACGATGAACAACGATAAGATGATAAATTAAGTCGCCAGAATCGATGACGGCGAATTTTGTCAGGAGTCGGGTGGAGCGGATCTTATTTGTGACTCGCTTGTCTCCATGTAACGCAATTGTTTTAAGAAACGTGCACTGTAATCGCATTGCAATAGTACCGCTGTATGCACATGCAGTAGTCCTTGCAGCTGCAATGAACAGCTTGCTCAATTGTTGTAATACCAATGTTTCGAAAGAACCTGGGGTTCCTGCCAACCGCACTCGCTAGGTCACCACCTTCTCCGCACTCGTTCTTAATATTCCATCACGTGGAGCGCTTAAGTAGCTTCATTGCTTCCGGACACGCAACATTGCAGGCGAACGCATGCATGCAATGTCAGAAAAGCCTGAAATGAAGAGCCGAGTGCGACGCTTCCCAAAGTGCAATTGCGCCTCGTTTCTTTCAAATAAGCTTATAGATGTCTCTTCATCTATCATCTAAATAATTTCAACGTAAGTTCTAGCTACTATGCGTTTCTAAGGCAGCTGGCGAGCTGCGATGTGCAAAAGTAAATCCGCCGCCCACGCCACGTTACATGGCTGGCTGTTCCCGCCCCGCTGTGGTGTATTGCACCTGGTATGTGAAGGCCACAGTTCGCTGACACATGAGACCAGTCTTGTCTATTTACGCAGGTGAGATATAGCACCTACTTCTCTCGCGCCTCACAAGCTGGCGAAATTGCGCGTGCCGGGCGAAGTGCTGCTGTCACCGTAACTACTGCTGCCGGCCCGTCTTATAATGCCCACAGTTCATCAGGTTACGGTTGATAATGTCCACAGTTCATAATGTCCACGGCTTACCATATCCACGGTCCTTAATGTCCACAGTTCAGAATGTTCACAGCTTACAATGTCCACAGTTCTTAATAATGTCCACCGCTTATAATGTCCACGACATATTTCCACCTGCGTCCGCTAGGACACTGCCTCGCTGTTATGTTTGAGAATACGGCGCCTGGAACCGCCAAGCCGACGAAACCAGTGCAGGGTCAAGCAGGGGGCAGGAGCGTGAAGCGACCTGTGGAACATATTATTTTCACAGTTCTTGGTGCTGAATCGGATGCATAACACGATGGTATAGCCAATGAGTCACAGCAATTATATGTTCTGGAAAGCCTATTTTACGGCGCGTTCCAACCGCTGAGGTTGGCTGGATGAGCGCCAAGCTATCTATAGACATTTTTCTCCGGTTATTTTGACCTCCTCAATAATAAATTTGCTACGTGACTGTCCCAGTATAGCCAGGAACACGGTGACCAGTTTTATGCAGGGTCGAGTTTATTCCTGCTGGGTTGGTTTTCGGCTATCATATGCAAAGTCGATTTCATTTCAATCGGTGTGTTTAGGCCTATTATTCAGAGGCGGTCTCGTTCCAGTCGGGTTTATACAGAATCGGACTTCGGGAAGCCGCGAAAGATTCACTTTGCAACAATAGTGCTGGACTGTACCAATTTAGAGGAAATGACTTTGGCCGACGCCTATCTCCCATGCGTACGAAATTTCTTACCCTGGCGGGTGCAGGCAGAACTAGCTTGCGGGCATTACGAACTGTGGGAATTTTGAACCGTGGACGTTATGACCTGTGGACATTTTGAGCTGTATACATTGTGAGCTGTGGACATCATGACCTGTGGACTTAATGAAGAACCCCTATTACTGCATTGGACATGATGACCTGTGGACATCGTGAAATCCCCATTCTGCCGCAATAAGAGCTGGGCCGGTACAGCACGACACGGGTGGGCCGGGCGCTGACGCCGCCGACCGTCGGTCACTGGACGACAGCTGGTGCCGCGCGCCGGGCGCTGACGCCGCCGACCGTCGGTCACTGGACGGCAGCTGGTGCCGCGCGCCGGGCGCTGACGCCGCCGTCCGTCGGTCACTGGACAACAGCTGGTGCCGCGCGCCGGGCGCTGACGCCGCCGACCGTCGGTCACTGGACAACAGCTGGTGCCGCGCGCCGGGCGCTGACGCCGCCGTCCGTCGGTCACTGGACAACAGCTGGTGCCGCGCGCCGGGCGCTGACGCCGCCGTCCGTCGGTCACTGGACGACAGCCGGTGCCACGCACCGGGCGCTGACGCCGCCGTCCGTCGGTCACTGGATGACAGCTGGTGCCGCGCGCCGGGCGCTGACGCCGGCGAGCGTCGGCGAGCGGACGGCAGGCAGCTGGTGCCGCGCACCGGGCGGAGCGACGGCCGCCAGCGCGTCGAGGAGAGGCTGGCGTGCGCCGTCATTTGTCCGCGTCACCTGACGCTAATGTCAACTGGCAGTCGGCTGCTAACTCGTCCGGTCCGCATCTGCCTCCAAACAGCGAGCCGACGGCTAGCAAAAAGACGAGACGCTCACGGCCGTCACGGGCGCGGCGTTCTTGTCCGCCCGCCGCCGTCGCCGCCGCAACAGCGAGGGGCGGAGCTGGGTCGCAGGCGGTGCCGCCACTCTCGGCTGCTTGGGGCTTACGTCTGAGTCGTCCTGCAAATGCATGTTCATCCATGGTGGAGGCGTACCAAATGTGAAATTGGCCCGACATTTGTGCCACAAACATGACTGTACCACGTACATGGTTGTCAAAGGTCTGCCCAGTTTTCGCGTCACGTCGTGCGGGACCATCAACAGCGCTAAACAAATATTTACACAGTTCTGTCCGACAAGCATAGACAGCCGTTTTGGGAATAAGGCACAAATATGAATGAGACGATGCATTTTAATTTGTGCCAGCTAGCTCAGCGGAAAAAATGCGCGCTTTTGAAATATTTTACTGACGGGCATGCACCTGGTAAAACATTTGTATAAATATAGCGGATTAGGGCTGCATAAAAATGTGGTAAAAACCTGTCATGTAACGTAACGATACAAGGCCATGTTCGTTGGCACACATTTTTATGATAAGAAAGAGTAAAACTTCATAGACCAAGCGTTTTTATCGGTAACGAAAAGTACCACTGAGACAAAAACCACGAATGTCACGTTGACAGCAAAGCATCACATGGTTTTGCCAATGTTCGGCAATGCTCTGTTTAGATGGATGCTCGAAGTTTTCGAGGTCTTATCACTGGACGTGGCAATGCTTAGCTATCAGAATCCCGTCGAGATAATGTAGGAGTTTTGACTGCAGTATGTGGATGGCTCATCCAGGAGTGCATCAAGCACTGTATCTGAGCGGGCACAGCAAACGAGAGTACTTGCAATAACAAAAAGCAGGTACTATGGAAAGAAAACGGCGCAGACTAAAGCATTCTGATGTTTGAAAGGCGCAGAAGTCTTACCATGTCTGAACATTCCAATGGGATTACGATCCGAGCCTTCCTAATGTATCACGTTTCTTGAACTGGATTAACCACGATATCCAATTTACGAATTTCCAACCGAGGAATAAATCGAGTTGCTCAGTGTGCGTGAATATGCAACGCTGTACCGGAAATTCGAAAGCTGTGTGTCGTGATTCATAGCACATATTCTGCAAGAGCTGTCCACCATGGAGAATCAAACGGGCTAAGATTCAAACATCATGCCAATGCCCCTAAAACCAGGCTATACTGCACGCCACAAGCCCAAACCAAGCATCATGCTCAGACTGCAGGCTAGCCGGTTCGCCTAAGCCCAGACTCCCTCCAACCTCTGGTCGCTGGTTGGCGTGAACTTTTTTGGTACGCATGGAGGGAGAACATCTTAGCAAGGCACATTTGCACTTTTTAAGGAATGCGGTTGCACAGTTGCCAGCACTTTCCCTGGTTGCTCAAGTGGCCATTTCCCCCAAATTATTCTGGAGCCACGAGACAAAAACCAATGGATTGCTTTTGATCTAAGGTCACGGAAACTACCGCTGGGTGAGCAGTCGGATGCGAGGCAGATGTAGTAAGCCGGCAGCATGTCATGTCTGTGTGGGGTTCATTTAGAGGCCGTTTGACTGAAACCATTTGTAAGGCACTGAATGAATTCCTCACACGAGCTTTCGGGCTAGACAGACTGATGACATCGCGAGTAGCGGAGTCGAGGACTTGGGTGTCATCGGCGTAAGATAGTAAGCGGCCGTGGGGCAGGAACGATCGTCTAGGCGCGCGATCTTCCAGGTGCATAGAAAAGTGCGCGGTGTGATAAAAATGCTTATGAGATATAAAACGTGAGCGTCGATTACGGAGACAGCACATTTCATAACAATTTTGCACTGCGTAGCGAGGTATGCCATCGACGCAGTAGCCCTCGACGCGCTCATGTTCCCGATGGCTTCAGATGACTCCGGCAGAGCGGCTGAGTGCAGGGACTGCGACGAGGCACAGGCACGGCACGGGCGTGGTCCAGCCTGGGTCGCACCAGCACAACCACGCCCTACCACCGCCCCCGCAGCGATGTGGGGCCGACGGCAGCGAAGTGGGGCATGTAGTCTGTCCGTCCGCGTGTGTTGCGCGTTCTCACTGGCTGCGACCTGAACTGCCTCAGCGGCTCCAGAAGTCCTACAGCCCTGTCAGCAGACCGCTGCTCAGGCGC